ATACAAAAGCAACATCCAAACCTTAGTCCCAAAAGAGTTTGAAGTCGGCTAACATAAATCGACATATGAAATCAGAGCTAAAAATGATATTAAAAAAAAAAGATAAAAGAATAGAGAAAAAGATAAGGTAAGGTAAAAAAATAAAAAAAGGATAAAATAATATAAAGAAAAGATAAAGATCATAGTGAGAATCACTTCGAAAAAATATAATATTTGTACTAAAGTACAGAGATACTGTTTCATTATGATCCAGAGTGAGAATCACAAATTGCATGGACTGACTGCTGCTTCATAATAAAGAAGCGCAGAGAGTTTAGTGAACCAATTTTCTTTATTACATATGAAGATAAAAAGAAAAAAGATAAAGAACATATGAAAGATGAAAACAATAAAAAAATAACAACATCCAAGCTTTAATCTCAAAAGATTGTTGTTGTAATCTTCAGTCGGATATGTTGTCTCAACTCCCCCGACTTCTCTAATCCATGTCTGTTTGGGTCTTTCTCTCCCGTTCATCCCCTCCTCTTCTCCCCATCTTTCAATTCCTCTAGCAGGTGCATCACTCAGCCTTCTACACACATGATCAAACCACCGCAATCGAGACTCTCGCATCTTATCTTCATTCAATATTTGTTACTCACACATTTTGTCTATTTGTCTCATTCCTCAAATGGTCTTTTCTAGTATATCCACACATCCAACGCAACATGAGCATCTCAATCACATTCACCGCCCAACACTCTACGCCATACAGTAATGCAGGCCTACTTATTGTGATAAAATTTACCCTTCACTCTAGTCGGCATACCTCGATCACATAGAAATCCTGATGCAATCTTCTATTTCATCTAAACATGATTCTATGTGATGCATCTCCATTTAGTTCATCGTCTTTCTGAATTATGAAACCCAGATAACGGAACATATCATTGACTGGTATCTCATTACCATCCAAGGTAATCCCATTGTTATCATTGCTTCTACCTCCACCAAACTTACATCCATAATATACTCAACCTTGTATCGATTTAGCCTAAAACCTTTCGTTCTCTAAAATTTATCGTCATACTTCCAACTTCGTTTTAATACTCTATCTTGTCTCATCAATCAACACAATATTATCAACATCATGCACCACAGTATATCTTTTCGAATTGACGTTGTGAGTTCATCCATAACTATACCAAACAAGAAAGGACTCAAAGTTGATCCAGATGCACTCTGATATTAAAAAGGGAACTCTGCACCCCTCCTTACACTAGTAAGAACATTTGTAGTACAACCTTCACACATATCTATGATGATGTTAATATACTTACATGATATGTCTTTTCTAGTTAAGACCCAAAAATGGACTTCTCAAGTTACCTTATCGCACACTTTTTCTAAGTCAACAAAGATTAAATGCAGATCTTTGTTAGTGTCTCTATACTTCTCCATGAGTTTCCTAAGATGGTGAATGGCTTCAATTATTGAGCGACAAGGCATAAAACCGAATTGATTTTCCAAAATCTTCACACTTTTTTGGGGCATTTGCTTGATCACTCACTCTCAAAGTTTCACGGTGTGACTCATAAACTTAATCCCTCAATTGTTAGCACATTCTTGTACATCACCATTACTCTTAAATAAGGGGATAAAAGTACTTCTACGCCAACTCGCTAGCAATTTGTTGTTTCTCGGGATTTTGTTGAAGAAATGTGTTAACCACACAACATCTCTCTATCCTAAACTTCACCAGTCCTCGATCGATATACCATCTGGACATCTGCTCTCTTCCGTCCCATCTTTCTTAGAGTATCTTTAACTTCTATCGTTTGAATCCTTCTCATAAAATCCTGATTTATCATACAATCTTGTATAGTAAGATTATCAATATCTTGAGCTCTATTCTCATTGAACAATGTCACATAGTACGATATCCACCTGTCGTTTATTTCCTCACCCTTCATTAATATTCTTTTGTCGACATCCTTCACACACTTAACTTTTTCGATATCTTGAGTCATACAATCACGAAGATGAGCAAGTCTATAAATATCTTTTTCTCCTTCTATAGAGTTAAATTTTACATACAACTCCTTGTTCACTTTCCCTCATGTTTCCTTCACATATTTCTTAGCTTTTTTAGCTTCTCTATGTTCTCATCGCTTTAACTTTTCCCCAAATTCTTGTAGCATTCGCTTCTTTTTCTTATAACTTGTTTCACCTTATCAATCCACCAAAATGTGTCCTTTTATGGCAGTCATCCTTTAGATTCCCCAAATATCTTATTTGCCACTTAGGCGCACAAAGCCATGAGGGCCAGAAGGTGGTCAGCATATCGCATCCAAGAGTCACAGGCGTAGTAGATGACTAGATTGGAATGATTAAAAAACCATGAGAGGCATCCGTCTCTGACGCCTCTAAGATGGTGGAAGGTTCCCCCATCAAACTCTAAGCCTTATCTTTAATCTTCTGCTTTCTACCTCTCCCTATGTTTCCGCTATCTTCTGCTCCGTTCCCTTCTCGAGTCGCAGGTATGTTTTTAATTTCTTTCTTTCTCTTTATCTTAAACTTTTAAAGTTATCAAATTTTTTAAATTATTTAAATATATAACCATATAGCAATCTGCCCTGAACCCTAACCCCAATCAGCTTGTTTAAATTTTTACTTTTAACAGTTCAATAAAAACTTAATAGTGTTTATTATATACAATTATATATGACAACTTATTATTCATAACAATTCTTTATATAAGTTTATTAAAACATTTACGGTTAAGTTTTTAGAATTTACTATAAAAATCTCATTGTAAAACAATTTATTAAAAAATTACTATCAACTGTGTGTTATTTTATTCTTCCAAAAAATCTGTGTGTTATTTTATAGTTTATTACTCCCTCCGTCGCAGCCTAAGCTTCTCACTTGCCTTTTCAGTACGTCTCCGCTAAAGATTCTCATTTTCTATTTGAGGGAATAATTAGAACTCTTAAATGACAACTTAATCATCAAATACTAAAAAAATAATACACCTATAACATCACATTTATCATTAATGACATCATTATATTATCTACCCATCAAAATCACTTCTCAAAATATACTCGAATAACATTATTAAATTATTGTCTAAATAATCATGTCATTTTTCAATGAGAAGCTTAAGCCGTGACGGGGGTAGTATATAATAAGTATATGTGACAATTTATTATTATTAATGATTGATTATATACCACTTTATTAAAACAGTTACTATTAATTGTTTAAAAGTTACTATTAACAGTTTATTATAATAACAACTTATTATAAATTTCTTTTATGTGTAAGTAATAGTATTAGTTAGGCAGCAGTCCTCCAAATTTCCAATAGTTGCAGATTGTTTAATTTTAATATAATGCAGCATATAGACTATACAGCATTTATAAATAATTAGATACACACTACAAATATATATTAGTATATTGACTATATTCTTAATTTATATATTAATATTTGTAAGACAGCATTAAACTATTAATATAAATTAGTTTGTATGTATACTCTACATAAGTACTCCCTCCGTCCCATACATAAATTAGTTTGTATGTATACTCTACATAAGTATGAACAAAGTAAGAATGATTTAGAGCCACACAAACTTTACCAAATTTGATATGGGACAATCTTAGAGGGACGAACCGAAAAGGTAAAATGGGACAATCTTAGCGGGACGGAGGGAGTAGTTATTAAATGATCAGTTAGTAACTTAATAACCCATACTTCAAATGAATATATTTATTGTGTGTGTGTAATATTACATATAGCACGACTAGTCGCCTAGACGGCCGCCTAATCGCCTGGGCGATAAGGCAGTTGGCTGGGGCCGCGACTAGCCTTACCACCATGACAACAATGACACACACAATAAAAAAACATTTAAAGTCAACAAATGACACAAATGACACAAATGACATATTAAAACAAATAATAATGAGTTCATAATCCTAAAAAAAGTAATATGTTTAAACGGCATAATACCAACTATTTCTGAACTGTTGTTCGAAACAAAACTCCTAACATATTACAATTTCAAGTTTATTAGATTGATGAATGAAAAATAGAACTGTCATTATCTAGTGGCGTGAAATAGAGATCAAATGCAGGAGAAGAGTGTTAGAGGATGAACTGCAGATGGAAAAAGGTCCCAGAGGTGAAGAGGGAGGTTTAAGTATGTAAGTCGTGACTTTATAGTTTATATGATACACAGATGGAGAAGGGAGGCACGAAGGACATGATAATAACAAAAAGAGGGATTCTTTTTTGGCTAAGTGGGCCCAAATATTTAAACAGTTAAACCCAGCTCCAAAATTGTGTATACCTCTCTATGTGCCTCATCACCTATGCCATATTGTGTACGCCTCAGATCTATATTGTGAACACTTACTCATTGCACGAAATAAACAAAGCCTTTTCTCGCCTCATGGCGCAATTGTGTTGTGCAATTACAAAACATGGATATTTTATTAGTATTTTAGACATATAAGACTACAAATAGGGCATAGGATACGATTTGGGGTAGTGTAATTGAATTTTCTACTAAAGATATCGCTTTCCAGGCTCCAGCTCAGAGTACCTCCCCCACCCCTTCTCAGTTTAAACAAACGCACACAGAGACACACATCTGTGGGCATATGTATTTATATATTAATTGTTGCCTGTAATGTTTGTAAGGTGCACTTCAAACTTTGACATGCCGCCTTGTTTGTGTTAGTGCAACCCAGACCCACCCACATGCTTCACCACCCCCCAAATCCAATATAATGATCGGAAATCTGCAACATTTCAACTCCAAAATATTTTAAAAATAGTGACAAGGCTTTGTCACATAAAAGGACAAGACAGTCTTAAAAACGTCATTAAATAATCTACAAACTTAAGCTACAAACATGTAGTTGCATGAATCAGCAGTAATCAGAGCATTAGTATCCATTTTTTCTTCAGAGTTATCTAAAGTATCATCCAACTCATGCTTCACTTACTTGTAATTCATCTGAGCACTTTGCTTTTGGAGGGGGTGGAAGAAAATTTTCCAGTAGGTCTTCCTCTTTTTCTCGTGCAGGAACCATATTAACATCTCCAGAACTCAAAGCATTTGTGTCATCAGCACTTGCCTCTAATGATTGATGAGGTACTGTTTGAATAATGGGTGTATGGCCCTGAAGAGAGCCCAGTGGATTTTCAACTTGTGATTCAGCTATTAAAAACAAGAAAAACTAAATCAGTGGCTTTACGCCTTTACATTATTCAACCATTTAAAAATAAGCTTAAAAGCAATATTGATGTTCTTTGATAGCACGGAATAATACACAGAACCGTTTGAAGTTCCTCAACATCATGTGCTCGACCACTGATCATGATTTCTCCTTCCTACAATCAAGACACAAACAAAAATGACAACAAAAGCCACCAGCTTGTGGGTACCTTAAAACTTAGGTCAGCGCATTCAGGCTAAGGTTAGCTTGAGATTGAATAAAAAACCCTATCTTCACTTCAACTTAGAAATTGTGAATTCTCTGAATTCATTAGTAGCCCAAAAAGGTTCTAAAAAAGCTTTCTCTATGGTTCACTCAATAGTCCCCACATCATATGCAGTGTATAGGAATTGAAGAAGCAATGCTGAAAGGGCATTGAAAAGTACTGCAGAGCTCAAAACCTGATTCAGCGGCATTAGAAAGTACTCACCTCAGCTTCAGGAGACATAGCGACCTCATCGTGGGCGTAATCCACTATAGTAAGCCTACTTCTACTCACAACCTTCTCAGAAACAACACTCAATTGCTTCCACTGCGGCTGAGATAGAGACGGGGATGAAACCGTGAGTTGGGGTGTAGTTATCGCAGAACCCCCAAAATTCGACACCTTATTAGGTGTGAGATGGTCAGTTCCCAACTCCCGAGGCTGCTGTACTAAAGGGGATGGGGTTGAACTCCTAACTGAACCCAAGGCCGCACATCTGCTATTGTCGTCACCGCAAAGGTCGTTTTCCGGTGTGAAAACGACGTCGCTCTGAATCGGATTCTCATCCTTGTCAAATTCTTCCTTTTGATAATCATCCATCTCGTCGTCCTCGTCGCCATATATTGAAAGCAATGCAATGCCCTCAGATTCCTTCTTCTGCGAGGCCATGTGTCGATGAAAACCCGGAGAGAGAAAGTCCTATGGAAAAATGGAGATACTGAGCAGCTAGGGGTGTACCTTGAGAGTTGAGAGGAGGGCAAACTATGAACTGGGTACGGTAAGATCTTAAAAACCCCGTGCTCTGCGCGCCACCCAAATGGGTAGGCCCACCAATCTTTTGTCAAGACCGGTGGGCGTAGCTCAACTGGTAGCAAAGGAGTGCCACAAGGGTTAGGTCTCGGGTTCGAATCCCGGTAACTGCGATGAGGGGTTACTATGCTGAAAAATGCATAGGGTCTCTGCAAGTATCGGGGACAGAGCCCCACTCTCTATCTGTCAGATTGTGATTATAGTCCAATTTACATCCTCCCATCGTGCCGTCCGGTCGGTGGTGGGGGGCCCTCAGGGATGGGGTGTCATCCTTTTTTAACCAAACGGACATGGTACCGAACCGAATCAGTATGGTACCGAACCGAAAAATGGGGTTTGAAACAGATCTCAAATTTTTTGTCCCGAATCGGACCGTACCGGTTCTAAACAATGCCATGACCCCGCTACTGGACCGAACCGAACCGAAGTATTTGTAATTAATTAAATTTACATTTATACCGTTACTTTGACTAGTGCTTTCACACTTTTCAACACATTTGCTAGTTAATAGGAAGCCTGGAACCGGATTGATATAAGGTTTAATCATTTAAATTAGTAATACTATAATTTATCTAAAATTTATTAATTATGTAACACTACCTCAGTTCCAAATTGATTTGCAAAATCAACTTTTCTTGGTTCAATAGTTTCATTTTATTCACTTAACTAGGATGTCAAATTTTAATTATATTTAATTTCGAGTTTGCAACTTTGAAGAGATTTTAATGTAGTTTTTGAATATGTAAATTTTAATCGTTAAAATTTGACATTAGTTGACCAAAAAATATAGACTTTGCATATTAGCTTGGGATGGAGGGAGTATGAAAATTGATAAATTGTGTGGATTTTTGGAGGATGACTAAACATTAATTCCCCCTTAAACACTTGAAAAAAGTGGCATTGTTTAATATTGGTATGACATGCTACCATCCCGTTCGGAAATGGAACCGTGCCGAATGGGTTTAGTTCAAAGACCGAACCAAACCGAACCGTTTGATTAGTAACGGTACGGGTACGGGTTCGGCCAAATATTGGGCCGGACCGGACCACGCCCACCCCAGGCAAAATTACTGAACCAGCATGGTACCGAACCGAAAAACGGGGTTTGAAATGGATCTCAAATTTTTTGTCCCGAACCGGACCGTACCGCTTCTAAACAATGCCATGACCGATTCTCATAAAATGAGAACCGCTACCGAACCGGACCGAAGTATTTATAATTAATTAAATTTACATTTATACCATTACTTTGACCAGTGCCTTCACACATTCAATGCCTTTGCTAGTTCATAGGAAGCCTGAAATCGAATCGATGTAAGGTTTAATTATTCAAATTAGTACTACTATAGTTTATCTGAAATTTATTAATTGTGTAATACTATCTCAGTTCCAAATTGGTTTGCAAAATTAACTTTTCTTGGATAAATAGTTCATTTTATTCACTTAATTATGATGTCAAATTTTAATTATACGGAGTATTAAATTTCAAGTTTGCAACTTTGAAGAGATTTTAATGTACTTTTTGAATATGTAAATTTTAATTTTTAAAAATTGAATTAATTATCAATAAAGAGGATTTAACTTTAACATTGGTTGACAAAAAATATTGACTTTGCATATCAATTTCGGACAGAGGGAGTATGAAATTGATAAAATGTGTGGATTTTTGGAGGATGACTAAACTTTAATTTCCTCTTAAACACTTGAAAAGTGGCATTGTTTGGTATTGGTATGGCATGGTACCTCCCGTTTGAAAATGGAACCGTACCGAATGGGTTTAGGTCTAAGACCGAACCGAACCGTTTGAATAGTAACGCTGTAACGGTACAAGTACGAGTTCGGCCAAATATTGGACCGGACCGCGCATAGCAACTTTCTTAGCTTTACATTCCGTATATTGCAAACATAAGTAGTATATCAAGCGGATGGACTTCATTAGAACAAAAAAGCTAAACAAGGGACATTTTTGTCAAAAATGGGGTGCACATAGTAGCGTGCGGTAATGCCCTCTTAAAATAAGTACTTGAAGTCTTAAAAAATAATCAAATTGTTGTAAAATCCTGGAAATGAAAAGTGTGAATTGTTCATCTTTATCATCACCCCGTGTACTTAGGACACTAAAAGAGTGTTTGCAAGAACTTTAAAAAAGCATTTTTCAACTTTTGGCTTAAAAAGGGTTAATATGAGTGTTTTTAAACACATGTTTCTACTTAAATTAAACACTTTATAGCCAAAAGTTGGAAACTGGGATAGAGGTGCTTCTAACCGCTCAAACTTGAAGGATAATTATAATACCAAATATTTTAGACATAACCCAAAACACCCTCCACCCCTATTCTTTTATTTCCGGATTCAGCACTTATTCGCCACTGTCGGGACTCATCACCCCCAACGAATTGTTCTTCTGTCTATATATATATAGTATGTGTGTGTGTGTGTGTGTGTGTGTGTGTGCGCGAGTGCTCATGTGAGAACTTAATCTTAGGAGAGCAAAAAAGATTAGATAACAACCTTTATCTGGTTAGGGGTCATTTATGTCATTAAATGACATTTATGTCATATAACAACTATACGATTTCTCTTAAAAGAGGTCATTTATGTCTTTCCATTAGTGCTTATCTTTGGCAATCGTGAGATACTCTCCTTCCCATCTAGAAAGATTATTTTCTTTCCTTAAATCATGTAACCAACTCTCTCTTCAACCTTCTCTTTCCTTGGAACTTCTCCTACCACGTACAATCTGCTATCCATTTCTCTTATAGTTCTGAATATGAAGATCACAACCCAGACCAGAATTGTACACCAGACCAGAATTGTACATCCATACCTCTTGTTATCCACTATTATGAACAAGATTGGCTGGCACTTCATTGATGTTTTATCATAGTTCGTGTAATAGCTTTAGATGATGTCGCAAATCAACCATTATATTTGTGTGAACGCAAAATATGAGATGAATTGCTAAATATACACTTACATAGAAAATGCATTTTAATGAGATAAAGCGTGCATGTTAATGAGATAAAAAGTGCATGTCAATGAGTTAAAAAATGCATGTTAATGAGATAAAAAGTGCACATTAATGAGTTGAAAAATGCATGTTAATGAGATAAAAAGTATTCTTTGCAAAAAAGCATGTTAATGTTACTTGATGCACTTATATGCTCATGCATATTGCACTTCTACATTATTCATGGGTGTTGCATATTAATACCTGAAAGTGCAATAATGATAAAACAAACGTGCACTTCTACACTTACTGTACAAGTGCACTTCTTATTTGGAAAAAAGTAGTCTAATGTTTATATAATTTAAGTAATCTACGACAAAAGTGATCAATTACAACATAAAAGTGCATCATGATTTTTTTTGAAAACGTATCATGAATTATACATTTACAATTCATAAAAAATTAACTACTTATAATGAATAACTAAACTAACAAAAGTGCATCTAAATTAGTTATTTGTAATACGTACACATTGCACGTAGATGATATTTTCTACAAATGCACTTGATGGATAGTGTACCCGGGGGGTAGCTTATCCGAGGGGTTATTGCGGGGAATAACCTAGAGAGAAGTCAGAGCAAGCAAGTAAGAGAGAGAGAGCCAAGTATATTAAATGAACTTGTTTTGGGATCCTTTACAAGAGGAATAAAGGTTGCTATTTATAGCAGCCATAAATTGCGATGAGAGTACACGTGTCAACAATCTGACGGCCGAGGGGTCACCTTAACCGGGGTGGCACCGACACTCGCATGTGCACCGCATTAAATGCGGTGGGTGGATGTGACGCCGCATTGAATGCGGTGGTTGCTTGTCTCCAGAGGAAGCTTCGTAGAGCGTAGACCCTTCGGCCCGGATCATATGGCCGAAGGCTTCATGTATGGCCGAAGGCTTCATGTATGGCCGAAGGCATCATGTATGGCCGAAGGCTTCATACGGCTGAGGGCATGACATAACCGAGGGGTACTAGCCGAGGGGTGCTGAGGGCATCATAACCGAAGGGTACCGAGGACATCATAACCAAGGGGTGCTGAGGACATCATTGCCGAGGGGTGCCGAGGGCATCATAGCCGAGGGGTACCGAGGACATCATAGTCGAGGGTGCCGAGGGCATCATAACCGAGGGGTACTGGGGACATCATAGCCGAGGTGCTGCCGAGGGCTTCCACTGAATGTCTAGATTGCATGAGTATGTGGGCCAGGGGGTCCTGGATCATATACTCCATCAGGAGTCCCCCACTCCTTTTGTTGAGAGGTAGTCGTGGCAAAGAAGAGTACTTGAATATTCTGATTTTTTTGAAGTTTCCATTTTTTTTCATGTTCCGTTTCATGGAGGAAAGCCTGAGGGGTAGTCCCCCACTCATGTTGTCTGAAGGTGCTTCGGGCTGGAGGAGTTGTTGTCGTGCTGAGTTCCGTAGTTTCTAGGCCTCATAATGTGATAGTGCGGATGATGCTGAGGGCCTTGACCCAGCGGGAGATGCCTCATTAAAAAACCTCAGTACGGGAAAACCCAGTGGGAAACAATTCTAGTGAGGGAAAAAGAGTACACCAGATGTCGATCTGAGAATGAGGGCATGGCGCCGGGGGCCTGACTAGAATGATGATGGGGGCGATGGTCGCACGAAGCATGAGGGCGACGGTGGCCATGAGATGGGAGCCCGATCGCAAATTAAGGCATGAAGGCGTGGCGCCAAAGGCATCCATGAGATGTTGACTTCAACATGACGGCTGACCTGAAATGATGAAGGCGATGGTCACCAACCAGGGAGGGATGGGAACCCCAATTGCATGAGGGCACAATGCTAAAAGCATGCCTGAGCATGAAGGCCACACATTGAGCATGAAGGCACTGGTATGAAGTCCAGGCGCTGAAGATAAGGACGCTGGCGTGAGGGCCACGCGCTGATCATGAGGGCGCTGACGTGAGGGCCACGTGCTGGTCATGAGGGCGCTGGCATAGAGACCACACGCTGAGGACCAAGACCCTGTCATGA